AGTATGACTACAAACATGAACAAATTAACATATGCACAGATTTGTGTTAAAAATAAAATTGTTTATTAAGATAACTTTTTAATTACGATATCAAATGATCTTGCTCCTATTTTATTCATGCGGTTAATAGACGTGACATTGACATTGTTAAGTTAATATTGTAAAAATTTGTGAAGGTTACTTATTACTACATATACTCTAATTATAGAGTTGTTTGACTTGAAATGATTATTATTATTGATAATTAATTGTATAACAATATGTATGTTAAGGTCCTTCTGGGAAGAAAATAGACCCAGAGGTAAGCCGACAGACAAATGGATTTCTGGTTCGTTTTAAACCCACTGAAGTCGGTATGAAAAGTGTCTCAATTATATAAGTTATGAGATTTGAGTTGTAATTGTAAATTGAAATATAGGACCGCATCAGGTGCTTGTCCTATTGGATGGGGTAACAGTTCCCGGCTGTCCATTCAGTTGCAACATATATGATGTCAATAAAGTTAATATTTCTGGATTCAACTCATGTTGTGTTGGAAAGCCGATGACATTTCAGGGTATTTCAAGGAAATTATTAATAATTAAAGGCTATTATTAATTATGATATGAATGCCATTTAGTGGACGCCTCACAGGCAGGAGAGGGAACACTAGAACTGGTGGTCACAACTCGAAAGTCTTCAGTCAGAGCTGAAGTGTTGATGAAAAGCAGAGGTCTATATAATGTAACTTTCGTTCCCCAAGAGATTGTTTCGCATTATATTAACATCACTTTTAATGAGGAAGACGTTCCCGGTTTGTCACAAATATTCTACTTTTATTAATAATAAATTATTGTATTTCATATTATTATTTATACCAAATAATGTGCGCCAATAGGAAGCCCTTATAAGATTGAAGTATTAGACGATACGAATGATACAATGCTTTCCAATACTAATAACAAACCATCCGAAGAGAAAAGTGATAAAAGAATGAGCGGAGGATTAGTTGGAGTTTTAAATACTCTAGAATTTGATGGAACCAATTGTGACGATAAAATTGAAGCCATAGTCACTGGTATTGAAAATTATTATTTACAAAAAGTAATTAACAATTTTACCACAACTTTTTCGCATTGAATTCGCTTTAAAGGTCCGCATCAGACAGTTCTTGAAGCAAATGCTGTTAAGACAAGCGATAATAAAATCAGATTAGAATACAATCCAAAAGAGATAGGAATGCATAAAATCGAAATATTCAACGATTCAAAGCCTGTCCTCAAGAAACCATTCTTTATAGGCGTTTGCGATCCAAACAAAGTTATTATCAATGATTTACAGGACGGCGTTATCGGCAGAGAACATCAGTTTAGAAGTAAAAACCGCAAAATTGTCATTATTTTATAGTAAATTAATTATTTGCATCATTATTACAGTCGACACGTCTCGGGCCGGGCGGGGAGTTCTCAGCGTTAGTATTCTGTGCGACGATAAAGAAGTTTCAGTTAATATAAAAGAGTTGTCTTCGGGTGTATTCCTGGTCTCATATGTGCCACGAATTGATTTATCGCATAAAATCGATATTAAATATAACGGGTTTTCTGTGTCAGGATTTCCACAAATCATTGCAATTAGAGATCCGTCGCAAAGCATTATAGTTCACGGGAATGGCATTAAGCGGTCGATTGCAGGCGAGAGCACAACATTTATCATAGAAACGGGTGGTTTTGCTTCGGCTAAAGATTTTGATATAATAGTGACGGATCCGAACGGTTCTCCTCTTCCAGTTAAATGCTATCAACAGAAAAATGGCAGTCTTTTGGTTGAATGGACTCCATCTCAAACAGGTATTAATGATTGCATTCATAAATCAAATCTAATTCTGCGAATGAATGTTAGGTCACCATAAGGTAGATGTCCTGCATTTAGATAAACCAGTGTTCGGTTCGCCCTTTAAATGCGATTCTTTCGACGCCTCGAAAGTAAAACTCGAAAAAATTAAATTAAATAATTTAATTGTCAACAAAAAAGTGGTCTTTTCTCGTAAGTTAAATACAAAAATTAATTTTAATTTATAAGTTATGAAAATTCGTACTAATAATTAATTTGTTATAATAAGTGATGAGACAAGAAGCGGGTTATGCAGAACTGGACGTCACTGTTACGAGTCCTTTGGGCAGACATTTGCCAATCGAAGTGAAGAGTATGCCCGACGGCGAGGGAGAGCTCATTGAATTTGTGCCAACAGTTGCCGGCAAATACAAAATTGCCATCACTTATGGAGGCATTGAAGTGCCCAATAGTCCCATCACTTTCATAGCACAAGAAGGACTCTCTCCTAAAGTTGAAGGAAATGGTCTTCAAAGCGGTATTGTCAACGAACCGACCAGTTTTACCATCGTACGGTGGCCATAAATACCGCACGGACTCTAGTCTCAGCTGCCAGGCCTGTCACTCCGGCGGACATTATAGCTCTTCCTCCTGCTCAATATAGTGCACTGTATGCAAGGCGAGCTTTAGCCTCAGAATGACGTTAGAGTCCTTTGGAATGGAAGAGATATTCCGGGTTTGAATACTTTGCAAATCAATTCAACCGAACATTTAATTAATTTTATGCTTGTATTGCAAACAGAGAGTCCATTCCATCCAAGAATAGTAAACCTTCAAAAGGTTCGGGTAATCGGCGGATGGGATAACGTGTTGGATAAGGACAACCAGATTTCACTTTGTGTTGGAGAAGAAAAAAGAATATCATTTGATATAAGCGAAGGCGGACCCGGTATGACTCAATTCGCGCATTCATATCACTAACAAAACTTTCGCGACTATTATATTGAGAACTTTCATAACTTTATAGGAAAACTGAGCGCAAAGTTAAAGAATTCAAATTCAAGTTTTGAAGAATTAGCCGTTGAACAGACGGCGGGCCATAAGTTTAGGATATGCTTCAGACCCAAAACTGAAGGTTATGCCACCGGTATTTATGGCGTGCCTGAGATCAGAGTCGACGGTCCGGACAGTGAGGCCGCCTGTAATATCGAGAAGGAGGACGAGTTATATCACGTGACATACGTTCCGCTCGAAATCGGAGTCTTCGACGTTAGAGTCCTTTGGAATGGAAGAGATATTCCGGGTTTGAATACTTTGCAAATCAATTCAACCAAACATTTAAACAATTTTATGTTTGTATCGCAAACAGAGAGTCCATTCCATCCAAGAATAGTAAACCTTCAAAAGGTTCGGGTAATCGGCGGATGGGATAACGTGTTGGATAAAGACAACCAGATTTCACTTTGTGTTGGAGAAGAAAAAAGGATATCATTTGATATAAGCGAAGGCGGACCCGGTATGACTCAATTCGCGCATTCATATCACTAACAATACTTTCGCGATTATTATATTGAGAATAATATTGAAAACATTGCTTTCATAACTTTATAGGAAAACTGAGCGCAAAGTTAAAGAATTCAAATTCAAGTTTTGAAGAATTAGCCGTTGAACAGACGGCGGGCCATAAGTTTAGGATATGCTTCAGACCCAAAACTGAAGGTTCTTTCATAACTTTATAGGAAAACTGAGCGCAAAGTTAAAGAATTCAAATTCAAGTTTTGAAGAATTAGCCGTTGAACAGACGGCGGGCCATAAGTTTAGGATATGCTTCAGACCCAAAACTGAAGGTGCGATCAAATATCATATTAACGTTAAACTGTTTATTAATAATAATCTTTTTTGTCATTTCAGGAGAATATCAAATATTCATATATTTCTCAGACTTATTATTACCGCAAACTCCGATTCAAGCAATTGTTAGCGAAGGCTCTCAGACTTCAGAATGCGCTACAGTTGTGCTGAGAGGACACGGATTAGCCGGCGCTCGGGTCGGAGAAGAGTCTGAATTTACAATCGATGGGACGGATGCTGGGAATGGACAGCCGGAAGTGACACTAACCGGTGTAAAGGCAGATATACCCGTCAAAGTCACACAAATCAGTGCTAAAGTTTTTAAAGCTGTTTATATGCCTTCAATACAAGGTTTGGCATATTGTTTGCATTGTTTAGAAATATTCATGTTTTAATGATGTGTTATATAGGAACTTATCTATTGAATGTCATTTGGGGCCAAAAGCAAGTGAAAGGCTGTCCACTCAAAGTATCTATTCTTCCGAGTTGTGACGCCAAACGAGTCATCTGTTCCGGAGATGGTTTGAAGAATGGCTCGATTGGCAAAGAGATTAAAGCTTTTATCGACACACGACGTGCCGGTCCAGGTCTGCATACAATTCTCTCATTACAAGAACTTAAATCTAACATAATTTGCTATTTTAGGAGAACTGACGGCTCATTGTGTGGGCGCACATAAAATCGCTTATTGCGAACTATACGACCAAATGGACGGTACGTTTACATTGTTTATTAAACCACAAGAAGGAGGCAAACATGTGTTGACTATTAAATACGGTGGCGAACACGTGTCGGGTGAGTGAAAATATTTGCTTTTTAGTTTGAAAAGATTTTTAATGTATTCAATGAATATAAGGCTCGCCCTTCACCTTACGTATCGCTGGAGCGCCGGACGCGTCCAAAGTGCGAGTTATAGGTCCGGGTATAGAACACGGAGTACTCCCTCTCTATCAAAGCAGATTCATTTGCGACACTCGGGGCGCCGGTGCGGGTCAGCTCACTGTTTGTGACGCCAAACGAGTCATCTGTTCCGGAGATGGTTTGAAGAATGGCTCGATTGGCAAAGAGATTAAAGCTTTTATCGACACACGACGTGCCGGTCCAGGTCTGCATACAATTCTCTCATTACAAAAACTTAAATCTAACATAATTTGCTATTTTAGGGGAACTGACGGCTCATTGTGTGGGCGCACATAAAATCGCTTATTGCGAACTATACGACCAAATGGACGGTACGTTTACATTGTTTATTAAACCACAAGAAGGAGGCAAACATGTGCTGACTATTAAATACGGTGGCGAACACGTGTCGGGTGAGTGAAAATATTAGCTTTTCTAGTTTGAAAAGATTTTAATGTATTCAATGAATATAAGGCTCGCCCTTCACATTACGCTAGCGACCTCGCGGCCTGCGCAGGTTTCACGCTCAATATCCAGGCCCATATCTTGTGCCTCATGAGGGAGAGATAGTTTCGTCTAAGTAAACGCTGTGAGCCCCGCGGCCACGCCCAGTCGAGTGACTCAGAATTCGCGGCCCAAAAGGTATTAAACACTAACACTACTTGTTTAACGCTAACAAAACTTATTTAATGAATGCTTTTCCAAACATTAAAATTTTAGGTGCATTTCGTGTGGAAATGCAAAGAGAGAGCCAAAAGGACAGAACAATTCTGTGTAAATACGATCCGACAGAACCGGGAGATTACCGAATCGAAGTGAAGTGGTCGGGAGAGCACGTCCCGGGATCTCCATTCGTGGTCATGATATTTGACACACAGGAAGAGTTGAGTCGATACTTAGTCGGACATTACGGCACTTCCAGCGGTGCCTCCGCTCTGCCACCGCTTAATGCCATTGAATGCCTTAATAACGGCATCTCTTATGGAACCAGTTTTGGAAGAATGTCTTGGAGAGGATCCACTGCTGAGCTCTAAATCATCATTATTTTTATATATTTTTATAACTTTTTATACTGTTATTTAATTTGTGTACATTTTATAATCTTTTTATACAAAACATTTGTTAATTACACATAATAATAATTCTGTATATTATATTCATTAACTTTTCACATGAATTCATCGCAAAAATAATTGTCAATTCAAAGTATTTTATAATAAATTTTGTTGGTTTTTACACTAATTAAGCTTAAAATTGGTAGAAATGTTATTTCTCTAAAATCTTATTTAAAAGTTTGAGATTTTTTTGAGCGCTCTCTAAATTTGGGTCTATTTTTAAAGCAATTTCATAATTAATGAAAGCTTTTTCATAACGTTTCCATCGGTGGTAAAGAACACCAAAATTGGAAAAATAATTAGCATTTTGTGGCGACAAAGCGATCGCTTTCTTGAAGTGTATTTCCGATTCATTAAATTTTCCCATTTTTCCCAAAACATTAGCGAAATTAAAATGCAGTGAACTTTCGTTTGGATGGTATTGAAGCGCTTCTACTCCTATCGTAAGCGCTCTTTCATATGACCCCATGTTATCCAACATAAGGATTAGATTATTGAATGCCGACAACAGTTTGGGTTTGATTTGAGTGGCATTTCTCCAAACGATAAACGCGTCTTCAAAACGGTTTTGTTTGACATACTATTGGATACAAATCGCAAATTACATCACATTCTTATAATTAAGCCTATATTTGCGGGAATTCACGATTAGATTTAGTTAATAATATGCCATTAGTCTAGGGGTCAATAAAAGGACATGCGAACGTACTTGTTTTTATAAGACTACATATTGAACAATTGCGAACATAGGGGGAGGGGGGGGGTCTAGAATTCTTAAAAAGTGCGAACGTACTTTGCGAATCACCCTCTAGGAGACTAATGTTTAATCTATTAAATCTGTAGATAGTGCTAATCTATTCTTTAAGCATCATCCGAATTGTGGTTAACGTATAGAATCGCTGTGTGAGTTGTTTATTACTTTTGTTATAACGAGGCTATAGTCACAATTAACATTAAAATTGTGTTATCTTATACCTATAGATAAAATCTTATATTTTTAACTAACAATATATTTTTACACGTATGAATGGTATCATTATTTAAGTTAACATTATTAGGCACCAGAAACCAAGTTTCACCGGGTTATCTGTCCGTTTCCTATGGAGAGGTTGCACTGTATTCTGTTTCAATTATATTCTGGTAACACATTGGCTGTAGTGCTCATTAAGCATTCAATTATTTAACAGATCCCCCGCCCTTGCAAAAGGCATAACAAGATATATTGTAAGATATTGTAAGATATATTTATTGGCTCTTTATATGTTGTAATTGGGTTTTAAAATGTGTAAAATTCACTTATAATTTCAACTCTATTCCACGTTTTACGACAGGAATATCTTTAATATCTTTTTCAACGTACAGTGTAACCTCTCCATAAGAAACGGACATTTGCATAGATAAAGTGTTTCTTGTAGAGGTGTGTTGCCTCAAGAGAGTTTTCATACAGAGAGGTTTCACTGTACTTTAACTTTTCTTTTGTTTCACTAGAATTGCGGTAAACCCATAGGTTATGGAAATAGATTTGTTACAATCTTTGTTTTATATCAAATATCCAATATTTACCAAATTTCCTAAATTATAGAAACAGTCGGCGTAACGATTCCTATGTTTGATGGCCTTTAAGTAACTAATCTCTGCTTCTCTATACTCGTTGAGCGCAGCTTCCACTATTCCTGTATAAAAAACAGTTTAAATTAAGTGATTATAATTGACAAATGCAACAATTATAAAAGAAAAGTGTGCGCACCTAGATTCATCCAGGCAGTTGCAAACGTGGGCTTTATGTTGACAGCTGTGGTAAGCAATTGTTTGGATTCTTGCAATTTTCCAAATTCTTTGAGAATATTCGCCAAATTATTGAACGCGTGTTCGTATTCTGGATTCAAACGAATCGCTTCTCTGTACTCATCGATCGCTTTTTCTTTGAGTCCAGAATCGGCGGCACTTTTGGCGATATTGTAGTGAACTTTTGCGTTCAACTATTTATATAACAATTCATTTATAGCCGATATTTAGGCAAACAATAAATACATTTTCTAACCGGACATACGCTGAGACCGGACTCGAAGAGTCGTTTCTCGTCTATCCAATCAAAGTTACGCTATTTTTAAACTATCATTAGTTATATTATAATAAGAGTGTGACATAACTGGTAACTCACGCGAATGGTTTTCATCGAAAACACAATCACAATAAAAACGATTGTTAAGTGAATAATCTGTGAAAACGCATAATTTTGTATATAAGTTATTCCTCGGAACCAACAGAATATGGTTTGTATGAAAACTTCTTACTTTACAATAATTAGGAAATCGTTTCTCTAATAAATTAATTCCTGTTATAATAAGCAGAATATATCCAATACTTGGAAGAAAGAGAGCTCTCTCTGCGATTACAAACCCAACCGTAAAGAATATATTCGCCGACGGAATGAACGAAACGCAACCAAAAGCTATTGATATTTGTATTTGTCTGTCATTTAAATGAAATTACATTAAATAAAGAAATATTTGGTCGCAATTGAAATACCGGCTTATATTTGAGTTGTGACTAAAGGATGACTTAAACACAAGTAATAAAGTAATCCAAAGAAGAGGAATAAATGCAATCCTATAGTCATATATGGTTTTAATGAGCGGAATGCATGTCATCGACCAATCAAAGCAAAGCCAATCCGGATATAACAAAATCCATGCATTGATTGCATAAATATAATTAAAATTAATAAATCGTATATAAAATGACTCTTCAAATGATGACGGATTGTCTCCTCTTTGGAATTGAGGTCCACTGAAGTTCATGACTATTCCTCTCAATAATAGCACCAAAACAGTGCCAATACTTAACAATACTATCCTATATATTAGTGCTTTGGTCTCAATATTGTATTTTCGGTCACATATAAGAATTATGTCAAGTATTAGACATAAACCCTATTTAATGGAAACAATAATTGTGTGAATAAAATATGCCATAAGTTAAGTGCTTTGGAGTCAACTTGAAATGGTATACAAATAGTTCACACTAACTATAAGAGTGATGCCCTGCTCTTTGAAAAGCATTCCCATTGCAGATAAACTTATGATCGCAAAGCAATTCATACCAAACGTAACTGAAACGTAAAGATGACTCATATTATGTAATCATACTGTGATTGTCGACTATATAAATGATGGTTAAATACTTACACATTTCACATTTATGAATCAAAGTTGTAAACTCGACGTAAACTAATAATACGGTCAACGCAGACAGTGATGATAAAAGATCAGCCAAACCAACACAAGCGCACACCTGAACAATGGTAAATACTTACACATTTCACATTTATGAATCAAAGTTGTAAACTCGACGTAAACTAATAATACGGTCAACGCAGACAGTGATGATAAAAGATCAGCCAAACCAACACAAGCGCACACCTGAACAATGGTATGACAATCACTCAATTATAATCATATTTAGCATTAAATGCTTGAATACAATACACTTTCGGAATGGATTGGATGACAAGTGAACACAATTGTCGCTAAAAATGCATTTCTTTCGTTCACTTCCAAAGGGTTTTGTTTATCAAAAGTTTGAAGTTTAGCGCAAAAAATGTTCAAAAGTTTATTCAACACATGAAAGAGTAAACAATTTAAAAGCGCATACAATATAACGTTTGATAAGTGAAATAAATAGGCATTTATTGGGCTTTCAATGGTTGGATCAGTTGTCGAGTAAATCAATTGATCCAAACGTCTTATGAATCTGAAGGTGAGGACAGTGAGGGGTCGGAAAGACTTGTGGCTGGAGTTATGTGTGATTGTTGTGCCCCAGAAATCGTTGGCAAACACTTGACTCAAAGTTGTGTCACTCATCACATCCTTGTTGTTGAGTATGGCTTCGGTGTCGTCGAAGACAAACTCAGACCGAAGTGACACCAAATAGCAGACAATCGACACAAATATAATCACTATTTTATTATATCTTAATAGATATAACATAGTTGTCATGTTTGAGAACTTTCTATACACTTATCTATTATTAATTTACATCATGTGTTGTGACATTGTACCAATATCATTAATTCACCTAGAACATATTTCTCAACCAATATCATTGTGATATGATGCCAAAATTATAGCCATGCTTATTTCCAGTTATGCTCATCCAATCCCTTCAATTGAGTATAAAAAATCACTTCAATTATACTTAAAGACAAAATGTTATTAAAACTTAATTTGATTATCAAATGAAACAACTGTTCAATTGAGACAATATTGCGGACAAAAGTTTTGATAAAAACTATAACTTTAATCAAATATTCGTAAGTTTTATGAAAAAATAGTGAACTTTTTTGTTGAACGCATTGAATGAATGGTCCCTTAATGTGATGACAAACTGTGGAAGCATTTTAGACACCGGTATTGTATGCAGAGTACAAACACTTGGGTCGTAACCGGGAGATTACCGAATCGAAGTGAAGTGGTCGGGAGAGCACGTCCCGGGATCTCCATTCGTGGTCATGATATTTGACACACAGGAAGAGTTGAGTCGATACTTAGTCGGACATTACGGCACTTCAAGCGGTGCCTCCGCTCTGCCACCGCTTAATGCCATTGAATGCCTTAATAACGGCATCTCTTATGGAACCAGTTTTGGAAGGATGTCTTGGAGAGGATCCACTGCTGAGCTCTAAATCATTATTTTTATATTTTTTTATAACTTTTTATACTGTTATTTAATTTTTGTACATTTTATAATTTTTTTATACAAAACATTTGTTAATTACACATATAATAATTCTGTACATTATATTCATTAACTTTTCACATTAATTCATCGCAAAAATAATTGTCAATTCAAAGTATTTTATAATAAATTTTGTTGGTTTTGATACTAATTAAGCTAAAAATTAATGGAAATGTTAATTCTCTAAAATTTTATTTAAAAGTTTGAGATTTTTTTGAGCGCTCTCTAAATTTGGGTCTATTTTTAAAGCAATTTCATAATTAATGAAAGCTTTTTCATAACGTTTCCATCGGTGGTAAAGAACACCAAAATTGGAGAAATAATTAGCATTTTGTGGCGACAAAGCGATCGCTTTCTTGAAGTGTATCTCCGATTCATTAAATTTTCCCATTTTTCCCAAAACATTAGCGAAATTAAAATGCAATGAACTTTCATTTGGATGGTATTGAAGCGCTTCCACTCCTATGGTAAGCGCTCTTTCATAGGACCCCATGTTATCCAACATAAGGATTAGATTATTGAATGCCGACAACAGTTTGGGTTTGATTTGAGTGGCATTTCTCCAAACGATAAACGCGTCTTCAAAACGGTTTTGTTTGACATACTATTGGATACAAATCGCAAATTACATCACATTCTTATAATTAAGTCTCTATTTGCGAGAATTCACGATTAGATTTAGTTAATAATATGCCATTAGTTTAGGGGTCAATATAGGCTCCAAAATAGATTATTTTTAACCACAATTCAGATATGAATGTGGTTTATAGGATCGTGAGGCCCCCCTTCGCCCCCGCTGTGGCAGGTTCATTTAGTATATTTCAATATAAAAAGCATTATCACATTGAAATAACATTACTCCCATAGACTTAGCATCACCCATGTTATCCCTATGCCATAGAGTTAGCATTACCCATAGATTTATCATTCTACATAGACTTAGCATTACCCATGTTATTCCTATGCCATAGACTTTGCATTACCCATGTTATCCCTATGCCATAGACTTAGCGTTACTCGTGTTATTCCTATGCCATAGACTTAGCATTACCCATGTTAAAGTATTGCCATAGACTTAGTATTACCCATGTTAAAGTATTGCCATAGACTTAAGCTGTAATCCCATGTTAATTCCCCATAGGCACTAGAATCCCAATTTCATCAAGATCAAATGAATAGTTTTTAACCACAATTCAGTATGAATAATGTGAATATTGAATTGTGGTTAATAGGATCGTTCGGCTTTCAAGAATCCTATGTTAAAGTATAGCCATAGACTTAAGCTGTAATCCCATGTTAAATCCTATAGAGCGGGGGGCGGAGGGGGAGGGGCAGCCGAACGATCCTATTAACCACAATTCAATATTCACATTATTCATACTGAATTGTGGTTAAAAACTATTCATTTGATCTTGATGAAATTGGGATTCTAGTGCCTATGGATGTCAACTTAAATCATGAAACTATTTGGTTAGCTGCAAAGCTTCATGGTTAGGCTGTCTATTTATCATTTGACCCAATATATCAATATCCAATATTTACCAAATTTCCTAGATTATAAAAACAGTCGGCGTAACGATTCCTATGTTTGATGGCCTTTAAGTAACTAATCTCTGCTTCTCTATACTCGTTGAGCGCAGTTTCCACTATTCCTGTATAAAAAGCAGTTTAAAATAAGTGCTTATAATTGACATAGATTACAATGTAATAATTATAAAAGAAAAGTGTGCGCACCTAGATTCATCCAGGCAGTTGCAAACGTGGGCTTTATGTTGACAGCTCTCATAAGCAATTGTTTGGATTCTTGCAATTTTCCAAATTCTTTGAGAATATTCGCCAAATTATTGAACGCGTGTTCGTATTCTGGATTCAAACGAATCGCTTCTCTGTACTCATCGATCGCTTTTTCTTT